CCCCGCCCCCGGAACTGGATTTATTGAGTGAATGGCTATTTTAACTCCCTTCCTCCCCATTCTGCGCCCGCCCCCGCCCCGGATACCTTTTTCTTCTCCATTAATCTCTGCTTTTATGATTCGCTTCAACTTTCTCTGGGTCTCATTTACTGTTTTTCTCCTTTACTTTCTTGAGATGAAAACTGAGCCATCTTTTTAAAGCCTTTCTTTTTAGGGTGCACCTAGAAGCACAGTTTCAGCCACATCCCACAGGATTTGTTACTTAAGGTTTTCATTTTCATCCGGTTACAAATATTTTCTGTTTTTCCATTGGGGTTTCTTCTTTGACACATAGGTTATTTAGCAGTATGTATTTAAATTTTCAAATCTGTGGAGGTTTTTCTAGTGTTTTGTTGTTGCTGTTGGTGTGTGGGGGGGTGTGTGTGAGTGATTTCTAACTTGCACTGTGGACTTAGAAGATAATCAGTGATATCCGTCCCTTGCTGTTTCTGTGAGTCTCACTTTATGGCCAGAATGTGGTCAGTGTGTGTATTCTTTCCTATATCCTTGAAAGAAAATGGTATTCTATAGGTGTTAAGTCCAGTGTTCCTTTATATTCCTCAGTTAAATCAAGTTTGTTCATTGTGTTCAAATCTTCTCTCCCCATATTGGTTTTGTTCTTCTCTTCCTGAGAAAGGCGGCTCAAGTGTCTGGTGCTGGTGGGTTTGTCTGATTTTCCTCGGAGTTCTGTTGATTTTTGCTCTATATAATTCAAACCTATGTTTTTAGGTAAAAACAAATTTGGAAATACTGTATCTTTATGTTCTTTGGATTTTATATCCTTGTAAAATGTTTCCCTTTATCTCTAACCATGCTTTTTACCTTAACGTCTCCTTAGTCTGATAGCTTAATATCAGACAGCTTTCTTATTTAGGGTTCCTTTTTGCATAGGGTATAATTTTTTTCACTTCAGCCTTTTTCTGTCCCTGTACCGAAGGTTGTGTCTCCTGTAAGCAGCATGTAGTTGAGTTTTACATATTTCTATTTTCAGTTTGACAGTTTGTGTCTTTTAATGGGAATGTTTAGTTTGCTTGCATTTAATGTAATTACTGATATATTTGGGTTTTACTCTCCTACTTTCCGATTTTTATTTGTCCTACCTGGTTTGTGTTCTTTGTCTCTCATTTTTTTTGTCTACATTTGAATTATTTTTTTCTTACTTCATTTTTCTCTCTGTATTAGAGAGTATGTAGTAATAAGATGCATACCCTCTGTTATTTTAGTGGTTACTGTACTGCTTCGACTTATCAAAGGAATAACGTAAATTTCTGAGTTTACCTCTGTCGAAGCAATGCAAAAATCTTTAGAATACTTTAATTCCAATTGCCCTCATTACTTTTATGCTCTTGCTATCACACATTTGACTTCTGTATGTATTTCAAGCCCTGCGAGACACTTGTTATTTTCGAAGTCAGTATTTCTCCCAAATTTATCCTTTTTGTTGAGGCTTATGTCTGTATCTCTATGCTTCCATGTGGCTTATCCTCATTTTGCCTGGAGAACACCCTGTAGTACTAGGTCTGCCAGTAATAATGGGTTTTCTCTTTCTGTTCTCACCTCAAACAGCCCTGCATTCACACTGATTCTTGCTCTGGGTATAAAATTCTCAGTTGGCAGTTATTTTCCTTGAGTGCTTTCAAGATACAGATACCATTCTGTTGTCCTCCGGCTTCCTGTTCCTGGTGAGAGCTTTGCCGTCAGCCGAACTCTTGCGCTTGTGCAGGTCATTTCCACCTTTTCCTTGTTTGTGAAATTTTTCTCTTTGCCTGAGTGCTCAGCAGTTTCGCTGGAGTGTGCCTCTGGGGAACTTTCTTTGTATTTCAATTTCTTGGTGTTTCTAAGACTTACTACGTTTATAATACTTTACCAGCTTCAGAAAATTCTCAGACTTTATCTTTTTATGTATTGCTTTGGGCCCGTTTTTTTCCTCTAGAATTCTGGCTTTAAGAGTGTTAACCCTCTGATGTCGTTCCCTCGGTCTCTCAGTGTCTCCACTTTGCCAGCCTGTCACCCCCATGCTTCTTTCTTTGTGTTTTCATCTCACTGATTTTTCCAGTCACTCCTTCTCTGTTCAGCTATGCGTAATCTGCTTGGAAAGCCACCCACTGAGGTTTTCAGTTCTAGAACATCCATCTTGTTCCTTTTTGTAGTTTCCAGTTTTCTGTCTAATTCTCAGAATTGTTTTTTAATCTCTCTTACTTTGCTCAGCATAATTACTGTTTTAAAGTCTGTGTCTGATGACTGTGTGAGCAGGATCTTCTGTTGGGCTTTTCCATCAGCTCTTATTTCCTTTGGTTTTGTGTTGCGGTTCCTTTGATTGGATACCAAACATTAGATATAAAGAATATGAAAACTAATTTGGGCCCTAGTAAATAGATAGTATCTAGATAATATTTTCTGTAAATGGTATTTGTATTTGCTTTTGGCTTTTGACTGCTTTCACTAGCAATCCTGAATTTCCTTAGTTCAGTGTTGACATGATCTTAAATTGGATTTTGGTTCCTCCAATTGCTGGTCTGTTTGTAGTTTGTCTTTAAGTACGCGGTGCAGCCCTTCTGAGCTTTAACTCAAGAGTGTGTGGGCGGTTTCAGGGTCCCCTCTTCGTGGGTTCTGGACTCTAGTTTTTTCTTCCAGCCCTGCTCAGCTGTCAGAAGGTCCACTCAAGTGTTTTCACTGCTGCTTCCAGAATCAGAAGAGGCCATGGGGGAAGCTTCCCTAAATTCTGGACCTCTCTGATTTTCTTTCTTCTTCTGGATGTTGTCCTCTTTTTAGCTCTTTACATGCTAGCAAACAGATTTTTAAAAATAAATTTTTCAGCTTTTTAAGTTATTACCGGGGAGGGTGATCATATCACTTCTGCCATTACTAGATGTGAAACTATTCTATAGGTTTTTTTATTAAAACAAAACAAAACAAAACAAAACATTCCCCACCCCACCCCCACCGTGTTTGGTGTATTCTGATACAGCAGTTCGGTTAATTAAAAAACTGGCTTCTCTTGCATTCTTACTCTTGATTTTATGTGACCAAAGGGAGAAGAATGCCATCTAAACCTCCTGTTTCTCTTATATTGTCTCTTTCTTAGAGGAAAAGCGATTCTTAATCTGAAAGATTTTAGATTTCAGATTCTTTTAGAATTCAGATTCTTAATCTGAAATTCTTAATCTTAAAAATACATTTAGTAATAGCTCTGTTTACTTGAAATTACTGTGAACGAATGAACATTAGTATTAGTAGGCAGCAGTTCCGGGCTCTCTCAGTGCTTGGTTACAGACACATTGCTAAAACATTCCATCAGACACCATTCCATTATAGACCTTTGAAATCCTGAGTCAGAATAAATGTATGCAGGTAATCATGTACTTCCTGTAGGTGTCATGGAAGACTAAACAGGATGAACCTGTGGAGAGATTCAAGTCCAAGTGTGTAATAACTGGCTCTTTCGAATTTTAGTTACAGATTTGTTATGGGAAGGGTTCAGGTTTAAACTACTTTCCAATATCCATGCTGTGTCAGGAGTCCCCCAAGGCCTTCCCCGTATCTGGAGGTGAGTCAGCATAGAATGGTAATCATGGCTAACATTTATTACAGTGGTGTGATAAGGACGTGTGGCTGGATCCTAAAGGGGAAAGGCACAGGTGGGGGCCTAGAGGAATCTTGTGTGCAGGCCTTTTTATGCCGTCTCCTCATAACAGGGGACACAGAGCAGTTTCTGCCCAGGGAAACCCATTAGGAGACTTGGAGCCCAGGGTTTTTATTGGATGCCGTTCACGGAGGCACCCTTTCCTGAGATACCCCAAATTCCAGACTCCCAGAAAGAAAGCAGGTATTCGGCACAAACTGTATTGTTCATACAGACAGTGAGCCCCCCTTACCGTGGAGGGCAAGTTTTCTGAACAGGCGAGTTCTCCAATGTCAGCCAAGGGCCGGCCCTGGGCAGGCAGCTCTTTCTAAGGATACCTACCGGTGTCACCAGTCACCAGCTCCCGTAACTCTTCGCTGCACCTGCGCCTCCAGTGACTCACTGTGGAAGTTTTCTGTAAACACCGTAGGTAAATATCAAAGGTCCGTGTGGCAATTTTTGTTATGATAAGTAGTGAGATGTTTGGCATTAAACTTTGGCCGCTAAAATACCTGTGTGGCTGTCATGTCTTCATATGGTGCATACGGGCTTTTCCAGATGTGCCGGTGTCTGTTGTCCATTTGAATCCACGTGTGGGAAGAACAAGACAGCATTGGAACATTTAGTACATCTTCAGAGAATATTTAAAAATTAAATTACAATGGGAAATAATCCCTTACAAAAGGACACTTCAGATGGCTCCTTTTAAATTTCCAGTTGAACCACCCACGTGTTTTTTCACATTTTACTGGACTTGTTTTTCTCCTGGGAGCTTTCTGAGGAAAAGTACTTTGTCACCGAGAATTTTGACTAAGACAGCTGAAGTTTATTTGGCAATCAGAAATATGGAAAAAATAATTTCTGACTCCTGTTAGACTCAAACTGGAGAATCTTAGATGTTCTAGATTAGATTTCTCGCTTATAAATGTGGAAGCTGACCCAGAAAGTTTAAGTGACTGGCTGCAGAGCTGACTAGCTGGTTAATTGCATTTCATCGCTTTTTAGTCATAGAATATGCACTTGCAAATGCTATTGAAAAAACCCAAGAGGCTGTGGATTCATTTTGAATTTCATTAGTGACTTTGATGATCTTTTCATGCCTAATTTGGTCATTTATTCAACAAACTTAACAAGTATTTATTTAACCCCTGCAGTGGGTCGCACTAGTTTTAAGTGCCGAGGATTGTTTTCTTTCCTCATTTATATTCAAGTTAAAGTGTGTCCCATTAAGGTCCGCCTGGAGCCGCCGGCTTTTCGTGAGGTTCCTAGGCTACGTACATGTACTGCATTGTCTCCTGGTCCCTCAAAATATGTTATCTCTTTTTTTCCTCTCCTTAAGGTAATACTGCATTGCATGATTGCGCAGAATCTGGGAGTTTGGACATCATGAAGATGCTTCTTATGTATTGTGCCAAGATGGAAAAGGATGGTTATGGGATGACTCCCCTTCTCTCAGCGAGTGTTACTGGTCACACAAATATTGTGGATTTTCTGACTCACCATGCACAGACCAGCAAGACAGAACGGATCAATGCTCTAGAGCTTCTGGGAGCTACATTTGTAGACAAAAAGAGAGATCTGCTTGGGGCCTTGAAATACTGGAAAAAGGCAATGAACATGAGGTACAGTGATAGGACTAATATAATTAGCAAACCGGTACCACAGACGCTAATAATGGCTTATGATTATGCCAAGGAGGTGAACAGTGCAGAAGAACTAGAAGGCCTTATCGCTGACCCTGATGAGATGAGAATGCAGGCCCTATTAATTAGAGAACGTATTCTTGGTCCTTCTCATCCTGATACCTCTTATTATATTCGATACAGAGGCGCTGTCTATGCAGACTCTGGAAATTTCAAACGATGCATCAACCTCTGGAAGTATGCTTTGGATATGCAGCAGAACAATTTGGATCCTTTAAGCCCCATGACTGCCAGCAGCTTGTTATCTTTTGCAGAACTGTTCTCGTTTATGCTCCAAGATAGGGCTAAAGGCCTGCTGGGCACCACCGTTACATTTGACGATCTTATGGGCATCCTGTGCAAAAGTGTCCTTGAAATAGAGCGAGCTATCAAACAAACTCAGTGTCCGGCTGACCCGTTACAGTTAAATAAAGCTCTTTCCATTATTTTGCACTTGATTTGCTTGTTAGAAAAAGTTCCTTGTACTCTAGAACAGGACCATTTCAAAAAGCAGACTATCTACAGGTTTCTTAAGCTGCATCCAAGGGGGAAGAACAACTTCAGCCCGCTTCATCTGGCCGTGGACAAGAATACCACCTGTGTAGGGCGGTACCCCGTGTGTAAATTCCCGTCCCTGCAAGTCACGGCCATACTGATCGAGTGTGGCGCCGACGTGAACGTCAGAGACTCCGACGACAACAGCCCCCTGCACGTCGCTGCTCTGAACAACCATCCCGACATCATGAATCTCCTTATCAAATCAGGTGCACATTTTGATGCCACAAACTTGCACAAGCAGACTGCTAGTGACTTGCTGGATGAGAAGGAAATTGCTAAAAATTTGATCCAGCCCATAAATCATACCACCCTGCAGTGTCTTGCTGCTCGTGTCATTGTGAATCATAGAATATATTATAAAGGGCATATCCCAGAAAAGCTAGAGACCTTTGTTTCACTTCACAGATGATAATCTGACTGTCGCGTCGCACTCTTGAAAGCACGGATCGCTGACAGTTGCCTCATACGTGAGCACTGTTGTGAGAACACCAGCATTCACTTAGCTTGATGTCCTCGTGCTGTCATTGGCTAAAGCATTAGAAGCATCAACTTTCCAGGATTGGTTTCCCAGTATTTAATATAAATATACCATATAATATATTGTTTGTGAATTATTGAGAAATGTAATGTCCTATTCGAATTTCTAAAATTGTCTGCCAAAGGCTTATCTGTTCCAGTTCTGTTTGCTGTTGGGTGTTTGGGACAGAGGTCACCGTTTCTCAGTGGTGTCTTTATACTTTACTGGTTTGTGAATTTTATACAATTGAAGGTCTTTCTTTCTTTCTCCCCTCCCCCCCCCCGCTTCTTCCTTCTCTTGTCTAAGCTTCTTCCCTCTTTCCACTTGGTTTATTTCCTATTTCTACTTACCGGTTTTTTCCCCCTTACGGACCCATGCTAGGTTGTACACCCTTTATGGACCTGTTACCATTTGCAATTACCATAAGTGCTTTATCTCCTCTATGCACCGGCTTAAACTTGACTGTTGTATGTTAGCACATTTTTCTATGCAGCAGTTGGTCAACTTCAATTCAAAACACTGTTACGTTTGTTACAAAGTTCATTTTTTTGAAAGTAGTACTCTTGTAGCATGACAATTTTTTAGAGCTACAGCTTAGCTACCTGAGCTCAGGCTTTTCTGTTTGTTTGGTTTTTCTTCTTCTTCTTCTGAGGTTTTTCTCTCCAATCCACTGAAATTATTGTGTGCTAAATTTGGGAAACAGATCTTTTCTAACTCATTAACCCAGTTGAAATTTAGGTCTGTCATCTTAATATATCATGCAGTAAAAGGAAGAATCTACAAAGTGACCCACCTTTCATGCTGCTATAGCGTTGTCCTGCTTGTGCTGATGATGTGATTAGGTGTTAGAGAATTTGCTTCAATTTAACCTCAAAGTTGATCACACAGCTTTAATGAGTCCCGTTGAACTGTTCAGCGATTGATCACTTTTAGTTACAAAAAGAGCTACAGCATGTCAGGGGCATGATGCTTGCTGAGCCCGATCTAGGCATCTAGGATAATTAAGGTATTTTTGTATGCAATTTACTGCCATAGTATCCAAGGTCAGTAACAGTGTCCTTCCTTTCAAGATAACTTGCATGAATTACTTTGGTCTCAGTTATTCGGCACCCTAGTTAATAAACACAAAAGGTTGCAGTGCTTCCTGTCCCCTTACTGGAAGTTAGCTTTGCTCTGCTTTTCTTTCTGTATGGTTTTTTGTTTTGTTTTGTTATTGGTTTGGTTTGGTTTTTTTCTTCCACACAGCTTCTCTAATGCCACAGAAAGGGCTCTTTTAAGAAAAGATCAAGTGAAAAGTACTAAAAAAAAAAAGATTCAGGTAATTATCCTTCAGCACTTTATTGTTATTCAGAATAAAATTTATGATGGCACATTTGCCCTGCAAATGTCTTAATGAAATTGTTCTGAATAAAAAGCTCCTTATTTGTTTGAGGAAAAAAAAAAATTCAAGTGTACCTGTGAGTTGAATGAGCTGGATCCACTTGGGTTTTTGCTCGCATTTTATCCTGAGGGTTGATGTCATGGTATTTACAGAGTCATCACTGCAAAGAATCAGCTTAGATTTATTTCATCTTTATTCAGTAAACAAAACAAAACAAAAACTCGTGATGAATAGTAGTAAATATAAAAAGCATTAGACTTACTTTCTGGTTAAGTAATTGAGGTTTAATTTCTTTTTTAAAAGATACACTTATTTTACTAGGTTGGGAATGGAATTTCACCGTCGAAAAGGGTGAATGGGAGATAACGGGTCATGGTCGCTCTCCAGCCTTTGGATGAAGAGGCTTTAAAACCCGTCTTTACCATGGGCAAATTTGGTGGAACGTTTGAGCTACCACATAGATTAACCCGTTTGTGATTTAGACACACATTCTAGAAATAGCAGACATCAACATTTTGAAATCATTTGCCTCTAACCTTGTGGTACGTATGCATGAGCTTTTTTTTTTTTTTTTTTTTTTAAAGGAAACTGTATGTGCAGTAAATCGACACTAGTAGATCTCAGTAATTTGGGGGTAAAAGAGCAACTGGATTTTTCAGTGATTTAATATTACCCCTTCCTTTCGTGGGCGGGGAGAAGAGTTTGGTAAGGCACACCTCACACTACCTGACGGGTGAACCTAAATCCAACAACTCCAGGGCAGCTGAGGATTTCTTCACATGGCGTATCTTCCACCGCTAAAGATTGATTGCATAAAACTGTTCTTCAGTCTCGAGAACTAAAATGCCTTATTTCAGTTAGGATACAATTCTCCTCTGTTTGCCATCTCCCCAAACGCTGTTAGGAGCTCTTGACAAATTGTTTGATAGCTCAAGATTGTCCATGATTTTATTTTGGAGGAGGTTGGTTAATAAACGTGACCTCAGACACTGTTAAGGCCTTTGTCAGAAAGTATTCTCAAAATTATTGTTGACTGAATTAAAATACGTCCATGATACTGAGTACTCTAATACTTAATGAGCTACTTGTAGGCTGGAGTTGATAAATTTTGATTATGTCTCTGTAAAAATGCCTCGTAAGGCCTGCTGAATTTTAGATGTTCCTCTATTGATCATTCCTGGAACAGAAATGGTCATTTTACTCAGTTTAGATACCAGTCTACTTTATAAAGACAAGTGGATTCTAGATTTTAAAAAAGAGTCCTTTTTCTTACCCATAAACCTGACAGGGGCGTAAAAAACCCAAATCAGCAAAAAATAAACTTGGTGCCCATTCTGATTTTGAAGTTAAGTGATTGCTGACTTGTACAGCGACTCCCTTAATGTATAATATTTTAGAACCCCCCCCCCATCTACTGTGACTTGGGAAGACTCTAAATTCTATACGAAAAGGTTGCTCTTTAAATCACCCAGCTGAAACCTTAGGTTCACTTTTACAGGTAAAATGATCCTTGTAATTATCAGAATTGTGGGGGCCAGACGAGATGATAATAACGTATTTTTGCATACTGCGACAGCAGCGTTATTGCTTGGAATTTAACCATTTTAGAGTTAGATCCTGAAGAGACTAATTGGTCGTCATCCTTTTTTCATTTTTCTTTTCTTTTCCCCCCCCCGCCTTCATATATATATCACTAAACAACTAGTTCCTCCCTTTTGTCACTCCCCATTGTGTATTTTTCAGAAGTACTGTATTCAGATGCCAGCCAATAAATTGTCACATAATGGAAAATGATACGCCACAACATTCATTGTAAGGTTTAATAAAATTAAATTTGCACCAAATACAAGCGCATTTGTATTGACTCTTAAGATTTTATTTATTTGAGAGAGAGAGCGGGGTACAGGGGGGAGGGAAGGCTGGGGGCAGAGAGGGAGAGAGAGAGAGAATCTAAAGGAGATTCCCTGCTGAGCACGGAGCCCGACGTGGGACTCCCACGACCCTGAGGTCATGATCTGAGCCGAAACCGAGAGTCTGATGCTCAACTGACTGAGCCACCTGGGCACTCCTCGTATTAACTCTTCATACTTGGTTGATGCTGTCTTAATGCTTTGATGGTGTGCTTGTTTCAAAAAATACCTACTTGGTAGTTTATGGTCAGAACTGTTAGAGATAGCATTCATTGTTCATACTTCTATGTAAAAAGATGGTTTTGTACAGTTTGTTCTCATTTCTTTTCCAGTGAAGACCACAGAAGCTAAGATACAGAAAGACTTTTGTTTGTTGTTCAGTGCATGGGAGAGGGGCTGCTTTTAATTCTTACTCTTGTATTTTAACTGGTTTGGTTTTAGGTATCAGAAGTACGTCATAAATACATTACTGTGCAGGCAAATTTCATCAATTTCACCACTTTTAAATCGTAAAATCTGGGTAGTCCTTGTCTTTTTCTTATAGGTAAGTTTCCTAATACAAAAAGTTTTAATAGGTCCGGAAAATGCTCCGGCTGTCATTTCTAAACTCTAACCATAAATTGAAATCTCCAGCTGCATAGGCTTTCCCTACTTGAATCATTAACCTGCTTTACCAGTAACAAGTACAGACTTTGTCATCTTTCTGACAGAACCCTTTTAAGCCTTAGTCTTCCTTACCCTTGGTTCTATGGCTGTCCCCCTGACCACCACCGGTATTTAAGAGGAAATCTTCCAAATGTGTAAAGATAAGAAAATTACATTTTTAAGGATTTGAACAAGAAAAAGTCTTATGTCCTAAGGATACTGTTTCTTCAAGATACTTTTCATCCTTTTTTCCCATCTCTGTACTATCAGAATGTTCTTTTTTTCTTTCTTTCTTCCTAATCTCCTTTATTTTGCCTGTCCCCACCCTCTCCCACTCCGGCAACCACCACTATGTTCTCTGCATTTTAGAATCTGTGTTTTGTTTAGATTTCACATAGATGTGAAGTCATACGGTATTTGTCTTCCTCATACGGTTTTTGTCTTCCTCTGACTTACTTCACTTAGCACAATCCCCTCCAGAACGTTCTTTTCTTAAGTAATTTGGGGATTGTGGGAGTTGTAAAATCATTGGTTCCTGGGTGCCGCCGTGTTACCTCACATTTTATTGTAAAGGTACTTTTAAGTAAGATTTGCTCTCCTAAAATTAGCTCAGCTTAATAGAATTATCGCAGTTTTATTTTCCTAATCTAATATTTATGTCTGATTTCAAAAGTGAATACAGAGCCCTGCCTTTAAAAATTGAAAATGTAACCTTACAAAAGGATACATTTAAGACACATTCATACTGAAGAAGGACTTGGTGAGTTCTAGTCCCCCTAAGACATCTGGGGTGGTTATTAACCACCGTTTACTCATGTGAGTCAGGTGAGTGGAGTGGTTTAAAGTATTTGACGTTATTGCCAAAAATTATTAAATGGAAAAAAATTGTGTCTGTTACAGAAGAATTATATGCAAAACTTCCCAGTAATCAGCCTGTTCTAATGTGAGGTCTCCTTGGTTATTTTAGATCTATGTGAGCCTTATCCATTAACTTACTCTTTTCCTTTTCCGAAAGACCAAATATAACTTCGTTAATGGCAGGTTTCCCTTATTTACATAACAGATAACCAGGACTAATTGATCCTAGGAATGGTATTTTTTAAAAATCTTTTCATCCTTATAATTGAATGTCTTTGTAGATGATAATATCGCTTGTGATGATACTTACTTCTGAAACTTAGTAGGTACCGTGGGGGCACCTGGGTGGCTCAGTTGGTTAAGCGTCATATTGGTTTGGGCTCAGGTCATGATCCCAGGGTTGTGCGATCAAGCCCCATGTCCGGCTCTGCACTGAGCGTGGAGCCTGCTTGAGATTCTCTCTCTCTGCCTCTGCCCCTCCCCCACACACGTGCCCTCTCTCTCAAATCTTTAAAAAAAAAAAAAAAAACTTAGACACCTGACACCTTGATTCTCTGTTTTTAAAAATGTGTTTAATATATTCATTACAAGGGCCCAACTGGAGACTATTAAAAAACCAAAGAGAGAAAAATTACCCTACAGCTTGAAATAACAGAGTCCTATGCAAACCATCTAGGGAGAAATAAAAAGACAACATAGGGAGTGAGGCTGGACAGCCAGGGTCAGGGCTCTTGCAGGGACGCCTGTTCTGAGGACGTTTCTTGCAGGTACTTCAGGGTTGTGGGTGTCCCCAGAATTTAGCAACATGTGTTCACAAAGGGCTGCCGGTGTGGGCTTGGAGGCTCTGCTTGGAGAGCTGGATGGTCCTTAACTTACACGGGGCAGGCCCCTTGTCCTCCAGGATGTCCAGGCCTCCGTGACCGTGGTGCCCCTGTCGTGGGGGTCGCAGGGCTTGGGGGCTTCCCCCATGGGCACGCGGTGAGAGCAGCCAGTGGGGAACCCCAGGGAGAGCTGTTACCTCAGGTCTCCCTAGACGTTCCTGTGGATGCTCCCCACCCATTTGCAGAGATGGTCTGATGGAGGGAAGGCAGAAATTCCCTTGTTGCTGGACTTGGGTGGGGCTCATCAGCTCCCGCCGAAGCCTCTGGTCCACAGAGCACCCCCACTGGGCCCTGTCCTTTATGGCGGGAGGCTGGGGCACGGTTCTGGGAGCCATCCTCACCTTGATTCTTTAATAGTACCTGTCCTTACCAGTTCAGTGCTGAGTCGGTATTATCAGATTTCTGCTGTACCAGGCGCTATACCAAATGATGATGATCGTATCCGCTCACTCTCCAAGACTTTGGGAACTAAGCAAAAGGAAAACCACCCATCTTGCCTCCCAGTTAAACACAGTTAATGCTAAGGTGTGTTCTCGACCTTCTGTTGTTCCGTTTTAAATCTTAAATTTGTTCAGGACAAGCAAATTCTTAAAATAGTGGGAGGTAGCTAAAATTCAGGAGATGCTGAAAATAGAATTAGGTCAAGAATGAATTTAAATGAGTGTGACCTGTTTATCCTGGAGTGTTAAGGGAAAATTCGGGATATTCCTCTCAGGGTCTTGATACACAGTCGAATTGTGAATATTGTTTATTTCACAGATGACGTGTACAAGTTAGTAAGAATTATAGGATATTTTTCTTTGAATACTCCAACAAAATGTTTTAAACTCTTGGAGTAATTTTGTATTTACAGAAAAGTGGCAAAGGTGGTATGCAATATTCCTATGCATACCCATCGGGTAGCTTCCCCTAATATTAACATCCGAGGTACACAGTACCTGTTTATGAAAACCTAGTTTGTCAACCCTAAGAAATTAGCACTGGTACAATACGGTTAGCCAAATCTATGGACTTAATTTGTATTTCAGTTTTTCCTAAAGTGGAAAAACTTTCTGTCCCGGGACCCAATCTAAGATACCACCTTGCATTTGGTCATCATGTCTCCTTTGTCCGTTAACAGTTTCTCAACCTTTGTTTCCCTAGACCTTGACATGATTCAAGAGTCCTGGTCAGATATTTTGTAGAAAGTGCTTCAGTGTGGATCCGTCTGATATTTTCTCGTGTTTTCTTGGGATTGTGATTTTCTAGGGAAGAATACCACAGAGGTGATATACCATTCTCATTACATCTTCCCGGGGGTATATGATGCTGACGTGATGTACCACTGGTGATATTAACCTTGAACATTTGGTTATGATGGTGTCAGGCAGGTTTCTTTCTCTGTTGGAGACTTACTACATACGCTATTTTTTCGGAAGTGGGTCGCTAAGCTCAAGTCTTGCTCAAGGAGAAGGGGAATTAAGCTCCACTTCCCAGAGAGGGGTATCTGCATATATTATTTAGAATTCTTTTTTTTTTTTTAAAGTAGGTTGCAGGCCCAGCCATGGAGCCCAACGTAGGGCTTGAACTCATGAGATCAACACCTGAGCTGAGATCAAGAGTCGGACGCTCAACCGACTGAGCCATCCAGGTGCCCCTATTATTTGGAATTCTTAATAGAAGGGAAATTTGTCCCTTTTCCCTCATTCAGTCATTTTTCAGCATAGGCTCATGGATGTATATTTTTCTGTGTTACAATCAAATACTATAATTAATGTTTTGTCACTCAGATCATTATAGCTTTGGCCATTGGGAGCCACATCTTTTTGATTTTTTTTTTCTTTTGAGGCTTCCTTTCTTTTTATTTAAAATTTTATTTATTTGATAGAGAGAAAGAGGGCACAAGTAGGGGGAGCAGCAGAGGGAGAGGGAGAAGCAGACTCCCCGCCAAGCAGGGAGCCCAATATGGGGCTCGATCCCAGGACCCTAGGATCATGACCTGAGCCGAAGGCAGACGCTTAACCAACTGAGCCACCCACGTGCCCTGAGGCTTGCTTACTTTCTGACATACAAAATGCACCAGGCTTATCTTGGATTTGTCTACCTCAGCCCTAAAGAACCAGCCATTTCTCCAAGGAGCCCCGTTCTTTTTATTGGGGAATGGTATTCAGAACCCAAACCTTGATGGTCAGATGTGTTTGTTGAGTGTATATTGACCCAGGCGCACACACATATCTACAGTTACTTCTCTGTCTGTAGTGCTGAAAATAAATCTGAGTTCATGCTTCTGTCTCCAGCTCCTCATCCAGCACCCCAGGATTCATCCCAGCTTTGTCCCTGTGCTTTGCAGCTTCTTTCTGTCTGTGAGAAAGCCGGCTCCTATTATCTGTAATTTATCTACTTATTTTTCTAACCCTGGTGTACGTCTGAAGTGGTTTCAGAACTGCTAACCCGGTACCCCTGCAAGAACTTGAACTCCCACAATACAGGGCTCATATACATTTCTTTCTTTCTTTTTCTTTCTTTCTTTCCTTCCTTCCTTCCTTCCTTCCTCCCTTCCTTTCTCTCTCT